AAGATGACACTAGAAGATTGGAATAATTTTGGAGAATTAATAAATAATCTCTTCAACCAACACTCCATCCTCCTCTCAAATATGGACAAAGACAGCACCAATAAAGCCTGGAACTTTTAGGCAGCCAAAGTGAAAGAAGCAATGAATAAACACATTCTACATACCTTCACTATCCAAAACCCTTCTATACTCTATCATTAAAGGCAACTAAACTACACTCAGCTTTAAAAAATATTAATAAGTATCTAAATTGCCTCTTAAACAACTCCTTGATTAACTTGCCAAAAGCAAACCAACACTTGCTTAGAGTAGCTACTTTAGCAGATATAAATATTTTATTAATAATACAGAAACAATTCACATCCTCTCTTACTGCTACTATAGACTAAATAAAACAATACAAGCACATCATTTGGCAAGCATAAAATTACAAAAAGAGGTAGGAGCAAAGCAAAAAAATTAAATTTTATATCAATCGTAGATATTCAGACTTCAAGAACAATACTAGTCATATAATAGATAGCATCTTACAAAGAAGAGTTGAACTAATCAGCTTTGAAAAAGTTGTCCTACCAGATAAAGTAATTATAAATAAAGACAAAATTAAAGAGGTAGTGCATTTGCACTTCAAGCTGTGGACCAAAAGTAATCCTTCTAATAACACCCTTTGGGAAAAATAGGAATCAACTTATTTTCCACTAAATAATATACAAGTAACTATCTATAACAACCTGCTCATTCTCATTACTATAACGAAACTTGAACAAACTATAAAGATAGCACCTAAAGGGAAAGCAATAGGCCCTCTTGAAATCTCAAATGAGGTCCTTCAACACCTACTTTCAGTAGCTCTATCTTTTCTTCTGAATATTCTAAACAGTTGTCTAGCTCAAGAAATAATTTCAGACCAGTGGTTAATAGCTAACATATAGCCAATACCGAAGAAACAACACTACAACTATGAGCTCAACTCCACTTGGCCTATTACATTAATTGATCACACTAGAAAAATATTTACAAAAATTCTTACAAATCGGCTTACAAACATTTTAGTCCGTAATTAGGTGTTTTCTCCTTACAACTATGTAGCCTTTCCTTTTTAGTCTACACTTCAACCAATTTCACAGCTCACTCACATTTTGGAAGATGCAACTATAAATGATAAAGAAATTTGGATCCTCTCACAGAACATGTCAAAAGTCTTTAACTCTATTCATATATTCACTTTATACAAAGCTCTTACAAGGATATATATCCCAGAGAAGGCCATAAATCTACTATCATACCTGCTTCAAAATTGAAAGAACAAAGTGATTACAAGTCTAGAGCTAACTACACCATATTTAGTAGAAGACAGTATAGATCAGGGAGAGACAATTTCTCCCTTATTATGGAAAATCTATTATGACCTACTGATATCTAAAATATACAAAGAGCACTAGAACTTCGGTAGTGAAATAGCTTCACCTCGACCAAAAGAAATTCATACCTCAGTAATAGCATACATGAATAACTCTCTATAAATTGCACCAAACAAAGAATCACTTACTAAAATCCTCAATACTACTTCTTCATTCTACAGATTTGTTAGTATAAAAGTTAATCCACAAAAATCTACACTAGTAACAAACTCAATAGCTCTGGATAAAACTATAGCTTTCAATAATGAACAATTAACAGCAATTACAAATGGAACACCATTTAAATACCTAGAAGCATGGTTCTCAACAAATAGAAAGCCAACATTAGTACAAAAAGAAATTATAGCTAAAGCAGTAATTAACTTAAAGAAGCTACAATTCGCCCACATAATAGAAAAATAAGCAATCTACATAATCAATAGTGTTATTACTTTTCGTCTTCTATACTAACTATACTCTTTTTTTCTATCAGCTGTATAAACAAATACTCTTAACAAAACCTGTATTCAACTAATTAAAAATAAAGCAAAACTAGCATGAGGAGTTTCCAACTCTTTTATATTCAATCCAGACATTTATACATTAAACAACTTAGCTCAAGCCTAGCTTTCATCATTGGCACAGGACCGAGAAAACTATATATAAGGTCCCCACCACACTATAATTCGAAGAGTACTTTAAATTACATAAATGTCACCGCCCAAATTATTAATAAAAATCACATGTTGATTCGCGACAATAGTAATTTGCTTATGATGATCATTCCTTTTTGGGTTTATTATTATATTTGGAATAGGTTCACGTGAATAAATAGCCAAATAGCCAATCATATTGTGCATCGCATATATATGTAATTTAGATTTTTTAGGTGGGACCTTATATATAGTTTTCCCGGTCCTATTGGCACTAACACTTTAAAAAAACTTAAACCACTCTAGCTTTGACTTATCCTTTCTAAAGCTACAACTACAACAACTACAGGATATAACAAACACTTACACATCTATTCTTTCACAACTTCTGGTCTTCCCAACCATACAAATCTATACACAAACCTGCCAAACGATACTAGCACTACATGCATTTGGATTACAAACCTCATACAATGGAGACAACTGGCCTCTTCTGAACGAATTCACTGGTACTCCAATAAACCAGATCCTTTTGGGCCACCTTAGGGCTTCTTACTTCAAAAAGAAACTAAACAACCACAACATCTTCAGTGTCAAACAATTTTTAAATGCAACTAATACTGAACTTCTAAAGTAGAATAACTTTTACTACAATATCAAAAAAATATCTAAAGGCCGATGCTCACACTGGTTCTATACAATCCAAGACCTAATAGCAGATGCTACAAATCCTTTGTCAATATCTTTATAATTAAACCCTCATACTTTAACTAACTGGATCCATAACAAAAAGAGCTGAATAATTATAAACAAACTAGTTATCGAAAGAATGCACAACTCAATAAACCAAACATTTAAACTCAACATTACATTTTATAATCGGATAATACACTAACTGCTTGTTAGGGCTGTAGCATCAAAAATTATCATTATTAGTCTAAATACTGCTACTTTAATGCAACAAAGCTGTTCTACAATCTTCAAGTAGATTGCAAAAAAAAAATACACATCAATCTAAATGACTTTAAAAAGGTATTAGCTCTTAGCTCTGTCTATACATCCTTATCCAGCAATTCAAGAACACTTTTAACTCTGACTAGACCTCTTTGTGTCTTTACAAACCCTCATATCTTGCTTTAAGATACACTTACAAAAATAATTTTAAGGCAAAAACCTTGACACTAATTATGACAAATACTTGTCAACAGTGTAATTCATATGGATTACATATGCAAGACTGCTTAAATAGACAACCAAAAGTTGTACATATGGCTAGAATGTATTCTCGTTAATGTAACAAAATCAGGGGTAGCCCATGTAGTTGCTCTGGCATTCAATCCAAAGTTCAATAAAACATGCCAAACCTCAAAGTAATCACCTTAACATTAAAAAAAAAAAACAAAACTCAAATAAAAAAATTTTAGTAGAATTGTTTTTCTATATAACAAAGCAACCAAAGAAGATTGAGACAACTTTAGAGCAAAAATAGAGAAAATCCTTAAGAAAAAAAAAAACTTAATATATAACCTTTCAAATTATGACCACTTTTAGAAGAAACTCAAAAGATGTTGGATAAATCATAAAATTTAATTAATAAAAGCATATTAGTAGCAGCCCAAAAAAATGCTGCCAAAAAAAAAATTCCAAATATATTAGCAACTAAGATGAAACAAGAAAAGAGATCAAAATTATCACAACTCATAATCCAACTTGGTAGATGGATTAGCTTAGGTAGAAAAAATCTCAAACTACAATTGCTATCAGAAAACATTCAAGAATTTAATAAGCAGATCTAATATATCAATTCCTGCTGTGAAACCTATATATATAGAGAAAATTCAGAATTGTTGAACACAAGTTATTGAGATCTGAAAAAGTGGTAGAAAATCCTTAATAAAAGAAAATGGAAGAACTTGAAAAACTTAGAAGAAATAAATCAAAATGTTGAGCAAAGATGTCAGACGATTTATGGCCAACAAGGAAAGATAATAGCAAGCAACAGCAACCATTAGGACATGCCCTATGACTGATATGGCACGCAAAATTTTTTGGTCGTGCCACTCACCCAAGTTCATCTAATGCGAAGATAAGTTATGGAAAACTTGATGATCCCAGATCAGCCGGCGAAGCAATATAAAAAGAAAAAAGTAAAAAACGTAAAAAAATCCAAAAAACGGCAGTCAGAACCGCATTAATAAAAAATGTCGGGAAAAATATTATTTTAGACGTGACTACATTATGTGAACCATTAAAAACCACGTGAATTACACAATTGCTTACATCACACGGGTACTTAACTATTAAAAAAATCATTAGGTGTAGTTATAGAAAGGTCTGACTGTAATTTTTTATAGGATTTTTTTGAGAGCAAACATTTTACAAGAAATGAGGTGAAGCGAACCAATCATTAGATAGTGTATAACGCATCTTCTACCTTATTCTGATTTGTTCATGCCCAATAAAAATCTGCACATGCTATTTTGCATATGTAACAAGCTGATCTAAATTTACAGTTTTATGATTCTTCGCTTTGAACCCTCTCAATAAATTCTGAACTAGATCTAAAATAACTTACTATTAAAATAACACACGTGTTAAAAAAAATATTGTCCGAGAAAATTTGCTTTATTTGTGTTTGACGAAAGAGATTCTTGTTACCTTTATCCATCATATAACCTTTAACACTAACCAAAATGAACGATCAACAAATTCAAAATGGCAATTCGAATTTTCTTCAAATACCCACAGGAAACTTTGACGGTAATTTTTAATGAGCTTTGCCACATTAATAATATAAATTGACGAATTTCATTTCAAATATTTAGATTCTGTGAACATTTCACCAACAATAATATCAGCTATCAATAATTTATCGATTAATGAATCAGACAATGATGGTACTTTAGAAGATGAACAAAGTGTCATGGATGATGATGATGATGATGACATGGAGCTTGGTGAAAATTCTCGAACATCAACAAGGGTACTACAAAATTTCAATTCATTATTCGTAAAATAAGGCATTTTATTTATAAATGCACAAAATTCCAATTTTTTATAGAGGAACAATTATAGTCAATATTTATCAACAAGAAATAATACCGGATCTACTGTTTCGTTCAATGGTTCAACCGCAACAATATCTCAACCGGTTGCACCAGCAGAATTATTGCGTGCTGTTGTTATAAATCGCCCAACTGCACAAATGATCGAAACCTTTCGGTTCTCAAAACCAAGGGTCGAAATGACTGAACAAGAAGTAATTGATTTTGTTATGAAGTATAGTATTTTATCCAGTTCCATGAATCTATTAGGTAAATAAAATATAAGCATAGGATTTATTAAAGTTATTCTTTGTTTAGTCCAGTCCCACAAGGGCAAAAAGTTCTTTGTAAGATAACTAGAAGTAAAGAGGGATTCGGAAAACTTTATCCACAATATGAGCTTTACATTGAGGAACCGATTGAGAATGATGAACCTAGAAGAACATTTCTTCTTGCAGCAAGAAAGAAGAAAAATAGTAAAAATTCACATTATGTTATTACAACTGCACGACTTGACTCCGCTGTTTCATCGAAAAAAATCGTTGGGAAAGTCAGGTTGATTAAATAATCTAATTTAAATCTATAAAATTTATAGTTTTATATATTGTTTTGACATAAAGTTACATATATTTGAGATAGATCAAATTTTTTGGGTACAGCTTTTGTTATGTATTCAAACGGACGAAGTCCGTTTAAACGTGAACCAGAATTAGCAGATATGCAAATTAGAGAAGAATTAGGTGCCGTAGTTTACGTAAGTCAATCAATTTCTTGCACGCATTGGCTTTTAAAGAAAATAGCAATATAACTAATAATTATGGTACTCTTGTAATACAGGATCCAAATATTCTTGGATTTAAAGGTCCACGTAAAATGACTGTATTATTATTAGGCATGACCAGAAATGGAGAAAGACCAGAATTTAGACCTACTACCGTAAGCATTTGTACTTTTTTTCGATGATTATCTGTAAAGCAAAAAAAAAAAAAATTTATAACACATTATTCATCATTTAGGAATCACAAACATTGATTGGAAAATTTAGGAGCGGGGATCATCGAGATATATTAATCTTACATAATAAGTCACCGCAGTGGAACGAAGGTTTTGATGTCTTTAATAAATCTGAAGAAAATCAATAGTTTATTTTATTATTAATTTCTAAAAATTCTGATTTTTTTTTTTTTTAGAGACGCAATCATATGTTCTAAATTTCAATGGCCGAGTAACTATGGCCTCTGTCAAGAACTTCCAAATAGTACATGATAATGATTGTAAGTATTCAAACAATATATTTTTCAAATTATATGTGCAAATTTACTTACGAAAATGTTTTTAGTGGATTATATTATAATGCAATTTGGTCGTGTGACCGAAGAAACCTTCACAATGGATTTTATGTATCCAATGTGTCCACTTCAAGCTTTTTCCATTGCGCTAACAAGTTTTGATGCTAAATTGGCGTGTGAATAAAATTGAGTTTGTCTGATAACCCTTTCAGGTAGGTTACTTTGGTACATGAAATATACAAGAAGGATGAGTTGTGAACGTGTAAAAATTTATAGTGATGTGTAAATTTGAAGGTTGTGCGAGGCATAGTCGATGCCACAAAACTATTATTACATCATTTGAACTATTGTATTTTAGTGAGGACTTTGCTATGATGTTTTACGCTTAATGAATTCATTGTTTTATTTGTGTATCCTAGTCATTCTATGAGATATCTTTTATGTAGTAAATTATTTAAGGTCCGTGACCTTGACAATTATTCTAGATGTTTTATTATTTTCAAAAGTTTCATATTTTCAAAATTTTCATATTTTCAAAAGTTTCATATTGTAATTAGTTGCCAAGAATATATATTTCAGTATATAAATAAATAATAAATATCATTTTACAGCATGATGGAAATTGGTTTTTATTGGCTATCGATTTTGATCATCAGATCGAATATGATTGGCCAATAAATCGTAAATCCTTATAAAATTCCCATTAGTAATATAGCAACTTTTAAAGTAATTTATGTAACAAAAAAATTTTTTTTACTAATACGTTCTTCGTGCCCTAACGGGTCTTTTAAAACTTTCGGATCAAGTGGGATCAAGTATTTAAAGGTAGCTGGCTTATACGTGAAAGGTGACGAAGGTATGAACGTTGTAGTGGTTACTTTAACTTCTACAACTTAGAAGGTAAGAAAGTTAATGAGACGCATTTGTATGATGCTTTATTACCATTTATCTACATCTTCTAACGCATTTTGTAATTTTAATACATCTCTTTCATCTCTTTCTTGAATAAACTCATGCTCCTCTGTGTCTTCCGTCTCTTCCTCTTCGGGATCTTGTGATTCTTCTTCAATTCCATCCTCCTCGGTAATATTATTTACTCCTTTTTCAAGTCTTTTCAAAAATGAATTAACATTTTTGTATATTCCATTCTTATAGTACTGTTCACAATGTCGGCATCCATATTCCATCTTTTCATAGCAGTGCCAGTGAAAACTGTGGCCACAAATCAAGACAGTACCACCACCTTTTTCGCTTAATGAATCAAAGCAGTCATCACAAAGTCCTTGTGAAGGAGGAATGCCAGTACTATAACCCATAGGTAAGAACATAATATCGACTTCTTCATTTATGACGGCAAGCTTGTATTTTAAAACTTTTTTCTTTTTCCCTTGTTTTTTCCATGATTTATCTGTTATGCTGCCATTCGTCTTAATATGGCGAAACACTTGGCGAAAATAATCCAACAAAAATAATGATGTTTTATTCGCCAAATATTCTAGGTTAGAGGACGTATATGGATACCTTTTTTTTGTGTGAAACATTTCTTTGAATGGCGATTCTTTATTCGCATCTATTTTTTTTTTTTTTTTTTTTTTTTTTTAAAAAAAAAAAAATAATAATAATAATAATTGTATTAATTAAATTATTTTGAATAAAGATTTTTTATATTTTTTTACCTAAAACGCAAGCCTGTTTAATAATAGTATCGACACTATCACCGGAAGATGTATTTGCCCATATTTTGCTATGAAAATTTTCAACGAAATAATCATTGAAATTTACCAAAAACATTTTAATTACATCTAATATTGGGTGTTCTTTTTCTTGCCAATAAAAAATATCTGACAAGAACACTAAAGGTGCTTTATTGTAGTTTTTACGGTTCCAACGAAGAGCAAAGGTCCATATTCGAAAAATCGTTTCAATGTATTCGTCAAAAGAACCTGAACAAAAAAGAACCGCATATACGTCCAAAGTCGCAGGAATGACATTATCGAGGAGATCAATCAACATCCTATACTCTACGTCCTTACATGTAGCTTCAAATTTAGCTAATATTTTTGTTTTTATCGTTATCCATCCTTGGTAAGCAAGTTCGAGAAGGAGATTTATTCTCCATGGTTTTGGTTTTTTTGCAAGTTTTTTACGCTTTCCAAAAACCGCATGAAAGAGCATTTTAAAAAAAGAATAATATATTTTTAGGACTTGCTCCCGGCTGTTTAACGAAACATGAAGCGAGCCTAATATAGGTATAAAGGCATTTATAGACGCTGGTATTTTTGTATTTTGTTAATGCAAATTAGTTAATGCCTTCCATATAAAAAGTTGCCCAGGCCAGTCAGCAATGATAGGCATTACATAATTATTTGTTCGTCTAGCATTTTCATTTACTAAGAGAATCATCTTCAAAACTTTTAAATAATCATCTAAGGAATGAAGTTGACTCTCCTTAATCTCAACCAATTGAACTTCTTCCATAGTTCTTTCTGCTTCTTTTTCTTTTATAGCATCGTCGTAGCAATGAACAGTTAAAAGATCGATTTTATCAAAATTAATAAGCCCAATTCTTTGTGAAGCGGTCCACTGACCTTTTCTTTGTGAATAGGAAAGATCAAAAATTTCATGATACCACGTAATTAAATGCAAACAAATTAAGGGCGTGTCAATATTGGTGGGATTATGGACTGAATTATTATTATAAGTTATTGGAATTGGTGCACATTTTGTAATTTCTTTACTGACGCATGTTGAAAAATGAATAGGGGCAGAAAGAACTACGGTGTCGGGACGTCTTATTCCATGTATATTATGGTAATCGTCAATATTATATACGAAAAAACTGTTTATCTAATATTAAAAAAAGTTAGAATTATGTACTATGGCTAGAGATGTGAACATAAAGCCATAACTTATAATTATGATGAGTTATGGCAAAAAATGCTGTAACTTATTACAGAATTTTAATCTAATTGCATGAACTCGAATTTCTTTTTTTTTTATTTATTCTTTTTTTTTATTTTGAATTTATATAGTATTCACCGGAGGTGAAATTCACCGCGATATGTTTTTAATCATTATTATATGATAGAAAAATTTTTCGCAAATTTTAAAGCTAAAATTAAACTTTAAGGTTAGAGTTTAAGGCTTAAATTAATGTAAAGGTTAGGGTTTTTTAGGGTGCTTGACATTTTTATTTGGTATGCCAAATGTCAATTGTCAAAGCTGTTTTTGAGAAACAACATACCCGGTGAATTTTACCCCTGGTAAGCATTAAAATCGTCCTTTTATTTTTTATTTATATATTTTTTTTTATAATACTTACTTTTTCAGCAAAATATTTTTGAATATTTTCCGGATGCGCAGCCACAATTTTTTTTCTGTAGTTTTTGACGGTCTTATAACAAACAGTAATACCTGCACTATGCATTGCATTAATTGCATCACAAGAAGCACCAGATGCCACTAAATATAATCCGATTTCCAAAAGATAGTTATTTACAAGTCTATTACGTATCGCCGCAATTGAGTAACATATATTAACTACTTTTTTTTTATCTTCTTTTTTATTATAAGCTGACCGTCTTTCTGGAATAAATGCATTGTAAAGCTCATCAAAGAATCCTACCAATTGTGGCGCAGCATCCTCAAGCATTGTCTGAAAACGATCTGGATTTAATTCTAGTATGTTATTTTCTTTTCTTTGCTTTTCGTATAACACACTAGTCATTAAAGTAATTTTTTCTCCAAATGACAATAGTTTTCTAACGATTATGTGATCTTGCACATTATTATTAGTTAATGATCCATTATGGCGATCGGGTTCAACAATCTCAAGGTAATGAGGATAGCACAATTGCTTTCCAACTTCTAAATAATTGTACCGATTATAAGTGCCTTTTTCTTTTGATTTTCTTAGAGCATATTCCGTGATTCCGCAATATTGGTTTGGTCTAATTTGGCAATTACGAACAGAACAAGGACCAAGATTTTTTTTAGTCATGATTTGTAAAAATTTTTTTTAAAAAAAAATTAAAAAATTTAAATTTGAATTCTTTGAAAAAAGCATGTTTATTTTATTAAAAAGTTAAGATTTTTTTATTATATGTCATTACTTAAAATAATTGTACTACTCTAATTAATACTACAAAACGCGTTACCCCTGAAATATTTTAACTAAGTACATGAAGAACCGTCTGGCGATATTTTGTTTATAAAATAAAATATTTTTCTAGTCTTCAAAATTGGATGGTAGATTAGAATTTTGAGCAATTCCCTATTTAATAATATGATTATAAATTTTTACTTTTTTCATTCGTAAACCATCTCAGCTAGTACAATTTCTTGAAGTGAGATGAATTTTTCCGATTTAAAAACCTTATTTAGGTGCTGTTAACCTCTAAACTTAGCTTACCCTTGCAAAACACTATCACCTGGTATAATAAATCATTTGATATAACCGTAATATATTACAAATGCCAAGAATTCTACTAGTTCTAATAGAACTACTAGAACTAATAGATCTAATAGATATAGTAGAACCGATAGATCTAATAGTAAAAGAGTTATAGTAATTAAAATGTATATAAAGCCCTATTCTTATCTCTGTAAACAAGATCAGTTCGTTTGTAAATTAACAACTCAACAAGATAATAAAGGAATAATCGTGTCTTCATACATGAACAACTCGAGTCTTTATTAAATAAACACTGTTTGACTACTCGTATCTTCATATACGAATAGCTTACACTTATACATTACACGCCTATTTGTATCTTCATATACACTTAGTCGTTGCCTCTTTCGTAACTGCAAATCACCATAAATCCTTTTAGAGCGTAACTGCACTAACCTTA